ACAGATATCCTCACGACAGGTGTGACATATCAAGAAGCTGATTAAACAGCATGATCATTACACAGGTGCACCTTGTGCTGGGGAAAATAAAAGGCCACTCTAAAATGTGCAGTTTTGTCATAAAAACACAATGCCACAGATGTCTCAAGTTTTGAGGGAGCGTGCAATTGGCATGCTGACTGCAGGAATGTCCACCAAAGCTGTTGCCAAAAAATGTCATTTCATTTCTCTACCATAAACCGCCTCCAACGTCGGTTTAGAGAATTTGGCAATACGTCCAACCGAATAATTTCTGCACAAACTGTCAGAAACTGTCTCAGGGAAGCTCATCTGCGTGCTCGTCATCCTCACCAGGGTCTTGACCTGACTGCAGTTTGGCATCGTAACCGACTTCAGTGGGAAAATGCTCGATGGCCACTGGCACGCTGGAGAAGTGTGCTCTTCACGGATGAATCCCGGTTTCAACTGTACCGGGCAGATGGCAGACAGTGTGCATGGCGTCGTGTGGGCGAGCGGTTTGCTAATGTCAATGTTGTGAACAGACTGCCCTGTGGTAGCGGTGGGGTTATGGTATGGGCAGGCATAAGCTACGGACAACTAACACAATTGCATTTTATCTATGGCAATTTGAATGCACAGAGATACCGTGACGAGATCCTGAGGCCAATTGTCGTGCCAATCATCCGCTGCCATCACCTCATGTTTCAGCATGATAATGCACAGCCCCATGTCGCAAGGATCTGTACACAATTCCTGGAAGCTGAAAATGGCCCAGTTCTTCCATGGCCTGCATACTCACCAGACATGTCACCCATTGAGCATGTTTGGGATGCTCTGGATTTTACGTGTAGGACAATGTGTTCCAGTTCACGCCAATATCCAGCAACTTCGCACAGCCATTGAAGAGGAGTGGGACAACACTCCACAGGCCACAATCAACAGCCTGATCAACTCTATGCAAAGGAGATGTGTCGCGCTGCATGAGGCAAATGGTGGTCACACCAGATACTGGCTGGTTTTCTGATCCATGCCCCTACTTTTTTTAAAGTGTTGCCAGTCATGTGAAATCCATAGATTAGGGCCTAATGAATTTATTTCAATTGACTGATTTCCTCATATGAACTGTAACTCAGTAAAACCTTTGAAATTGTTGCGTGTTGCATTTATATTTTTGTTCAGTGTCAATACATTTGCACAATGAGCATTTGTTGTCTCTCAAATAGATTGTTACAGTTGTTGGTTAGTTAACAAATTTTAGCCATATTAGCATTGACATGAAATCAGTCAAAACACATCAAAACAAGACATGGTATCAAGAACAAGATGAAACTAGCTGAAACAAGTCACTTATGATTCTCCACATGGCAGTTTCTTGTCATTGTTGGTAGCTATCTGGCCATCCAGAATCACAACAACTCACAGACTTCTGCCCCATTTAAGCGTGTGCATTGTTTTCGTGACGTTATCAGATAACCCATCTATTGGGCGTGTCACTGGTACATCCTGTTTGAGTTTTTGCTTGTAAGCAGGAACCAGGAGGATAGCGTTATGGTCAGATTTGCCAAAGAGAGGCCGAGGGAGAGCTTTGTATGCATTTCTATGTGTTTAGTAAATGTGATCTAGAGTTTTTTCGCCTCCAGTTTCACAGGTGACATGCTGGTAGAAATTAGGTAAAATGGATTTCAGTTTCCCTGCATTTAAAGGTGTTCCTAATGTTTGGTATACTCAGTGTAGACAGCTAATATAGATTAAAACACTCTTGGTAAATAGTATGGTCTACAGCCTATCATGAGGTATTCTAACTTAGGGAGCAGAACCTCGAGACTCCCTTAATATTAGAGTGGTCTTAGCATGATAGTCCAGAGGTGTAATTGTCTCTTTTTAAGCCTGTTCTGGTACACCACTAACTCATTGGGAAGTGGTTACATATATACCATATTTTATGTTACCCTATCAATATTCACTTTGTAACATTTACTTACATTTCCAGAGCTACATACTGCCATTTACTGTACAAACTGGACAAGGTTTTGAAGACACCTCCTGTGGAGAAACAGATATCATTGTTACATTTTAGTCATTTAGCAGACACTCTTATCCAGAGAGACTTACAGGAGCAATTAGAGTTAAGCGCCTTGCTCAAGGGAACATTGGCAGATATTTCACTTAGTCAGCTTGGGGATTCGAACCAGCAAATGTTCAGGTACTGGCCCAATGCTCTTAACCACTAGGCTACCTGCCGCCCCGGGTATTCCTTACACTTACTATCTTCATTCATGTATACAGGCAGTATTCTTAATGACTATACACTTATAACATTTCATATACTCATGATTCACATGAAAGTCTTCATTTTAGAATCTTGTCAGTGATTAGCAGAAAATAGTAAGCAGACATTTCTTCTTATTGCATGACTGTGCCATGTGATGCCTGGATGCGTGTAATTCATCTCCTTTTATAAGTATCCAGTCCAGTGCACCTTCCATCTATACAGCAACCTCAAAGGGCTCCATCTGTTACAGAAGACGAGGTAGTCCATGTCTGGCAGATAGAGTTTAGGATGTCTCTTCCCTGTGATCACCTCTCAGGTGGACTGGCATAATTGGCTGCTGCTGCATTAGTATCCAATGGTTTCACATCCAGCTGTCTGAGGATTAAACCTGATGCTGGTGGAAGCTCAACTCATTTACCCAAAAAATTATTAGCAATCAGCATGAAACAATGTGATTACATTTGAAGAAATATGCATAATCCTATTTCCTGTTGTTTTCAAAGATTGTTATGACGGTGCCATGGGAAGTGTAATGACTGGCATATGGTTGGTGGTGTTTACTTGTTTCAGGACTAATGTCATTACCAGTTCTACCTACTTCTCTGTCTCAGGGTCTGATTTACGAATGCACTTCGGGAAGGTGAACCCAAATGAATGTCCCAGGAGTGCTAATTTGCTTTGAAATGGGATTGTGTCATCTTTACTTTGTTTGATGTCCTTTTAAAGATGCATCCCTGGAGTGACTTATGTTACAGCCTTATTCTAGAATGGATTAAATAATTTTTTTCCTCATTTATCTACACACAATAACCCATAATGAGAAAGTGAAAACAGGTTGAGAAATTTTTGCAAATGTATTAAAAATATAAATCATATATATAAGGTCTTGGTAGCTACAACAAGACAAACTCTGTCTCTAATTGGGCGAAGGCTGGTATTAAATCCTGAGTAAAACATCTGACATCTGTTGAACACTGCTGGAAGGAACACATCTAACATCTTTGTCTATTGCGGGACTCTCAAACCTACTCTGCGCTATGGTCGACATGAGCACAGATTTTTTTGTTGTTATTCTGTCTCTCACTGTTCAAATAAACCTACCATTAAAATTATAGACTGATAATTTCTTTGTCAGTGGGCAAACGTACAAAATTAGCAGGGGATCAAATACTTTTTTCCCTCACTGTATATATTTGCCTGTTTTGCATGTTATTTTGGCATTAATATGTGTCACATATAAAAAAATATCTAAAGTCGCGCTGTTACTAATGCCTGTAAAACACACAAACACAGTCCAGTTCAAAGTGAATGATGGCAGGCCAGTGTGGCAAATGGCTTGTTTGCATATAGGCCTACTGTAGCTCTGATTGGCTATGGTGCACCAGTCTGCGTAGACACCAGTCCTGGACAAGACAGATATTTTTATTAGTCTGTCACGAACGTTGTAAACAACGGACCAAGGCGCAGCGTGATATGCGTACATCTTTTAATGAGTACTTATATAACAATGACAAAAACAACAAAACGATACGTGAAGTCCTAAGGTTAACAAACACAAACCTCTCCGGAACAAGAGCCCATAAATGACAAGTGCAAAACAGGCTGCCTAAGTATGGTTCCCAATCAGAGACAACGAGCCACAGCTGTCTCTAATTGGGAACCACCCTGGCCAACATAGAAATAAACGATCTAGAAAGAAACACATAGAAAACAAAACATAGACACTACACACCCTGGCTCAACATTTAAGAGTCCCCAGAGCCAGGGCGTGACAAGTCTATTAATTGTCCAAACCCATTGCCGTTTCCCACTCCATATTGCTATAGAATTTTCACAAATGCCTTAGTATACGTCATTCCCAAACATTCTATGAATTTTTGAAAACCTGAAAATGACCATATCTAAGTGCTTGCTTGTCAGAAAATGTAAAACAAAAAAAGTGTCGTATTTTTCCTGGGGGTGTATATGAACAGATTTTAATAAGATGTCATGTTGCTAAAACGCTGTCAGTTCCACTTTAAATAACCTAAGTTAA